CCCCAAAACCCCAAAACCCCAAAACCCCAAAACCCCAAAACCCCTGATTTTTATAAATAATTTGATTTAAATTTAAATAAATTGTGGCAAAATGACAACAATTTCGATTGTGAATTTTAGCGGAAGATTGTTTGATCACCCTGTGAAGCCGAAGGAAGACGGGTTTGTCACCCAGATTACATATCAAGATGCTGTGAATACCAAGGGTGGTCAGGTTGGATCAACAAGAGCTCAAGGCGTTTCGTTTAATGACACAGGCGATCAATTCGCGATTTCAGATTCAAGAGGATGTATCACTGTTTATTACATCTCCCAAAATAGATACATGGCTATTGCCAAAGATGCAGTTCCTTCAAGGAAATTAAAGTTTATTTCAGGACTAAAGCAAGATCAAGTCATTGCTGCTAATGATAACTTCTCATTATCAATCTATGGAATGAAGGGGAAATTATTAAAGAACATTAGAGGGCACAGGTCTCAAGTTACTAAATTTTTATTGAACACTAAACATTCTCTAATTCTGAGTCATTCCAAAGATGTCATTAATCTTTGGGATCGAGAGAAATACACCAAGGTGAGATCTATTTTCGCTCATAATAATTCATTCAAAGATTGCAAGTTTACTGTTGATAGTTCGATGGTATGAACCCTATTTAAGGATAGTACCATTTACTTCTGGAGTATTGGGAAGTTCACAGCTGATTATAAAATCACAAATAACCCAAAAGAGCTCCAGCTTGGAAGCATTGACTGCAGCACCAAATATTTGGCATGTGGCGGCAAGACTCCATATCTTGTAGTTTACGATATTGAACAATTCTTCTCAGTAAATGAATTGCCAAGGAGAATATTCAAACTGCCAGAAGGCTATGAGAGAGGTATTTCGAAGCTACATTTCCTCAAAGGTAAGCATTTAGACTCTGATAATGCTTAGAAATACACCCTAAGAACGGAAGCCTGTGCAAATTAGCCATTCTTGCAAGTGGAACCTTCATAATAGTTGATATCCCAGAGGGAAAGTCACAATATGACGATTCTAATTCAGAGGACTTGAAGAAGCCAGAAAATCCTCTCAGGATTTTAGCAAGTATTAGGCTACCAAATTGTTCAATTCTTGATTTTGATATTGACAGAAATTGCTACTTTGTCTCTCTCCTAACTTCAGAGGGGAATGTCGAGCTATATGATATTGCCACTTTAGAAAAGAGTGAGTGCAAGTTTGCCAAAAAGAAGCTGAAATCATCTTCAAGAGGCTCAATCTCTCATCACAAATCTTTCGGTCATGTTACTGAGAAAGAGTTCGAGAATGACATTAAGAATTATTCAGCTTTTCTTCCTGAAGAAGGAATCCTTTCTAAAAACTCTGTAAGGATGAAAGATAGTGGGTTTATGGACTGTAATGGCTCTCTCAGAAAGTCTGAAGGCCTCGAATCAAGAATTGGAAGTGCATACAAACCTCATTTGGAGCCTCCTAATAAGATTAATTACAAAGAGCTCAATACTCTCAATTCTAGTAGAGTCGCACTGGAAGACCTCAAAAGTGGAAAGGGCATGAAGAGCAGATTTGACGATTCCTCTCAGAAATTATTCAGTGAGGATCTTTCTGCAAGAGCTATTCCTCAGAGCGAGAGTAATATTCTGATTTATAAGGAAGGTGTTCCTGATATGCAGGATTATGGATCTTTTATTAATGAGATGGAATCTCAGGGAAATACTAATAAGAATAAACACTCGAAACCATTTAATCCAAGGACTAACCGTAAATCTGTATCCATACAAATAGATGGAGGAAAAATGAGCATTTCAAAGCTCAAGCCAATCCTTAGGAAGTACTCTGAGTACCCAGAGAAGTATAGAAAGTCTATTTGGCAGAGCATTCTTCAATGTCCAGAGAACAAACTTCTTGGTGATTCTTTATGTCAAAAGATTAATCCAGCTTTTGAAGATCTCAGGCAAACCTATAAGATTTCATCAGATAGGATTTACAACAAATTAGTTAAAACTCTTTCAGGACTGGCAAACTGGTGTCCACTTTTTGCTGAAGTAGCATATCTCCCTGATCTTGTATTCCCATTTGTGCAAACTATTAAACACGATGACAATGCTTTGTTTGAAATCGTTTTGACCTTTTTAGCTCATTTCTGTCAACTCTGGTTTGAGAAATACCCTAGTGACCCCATACATTTACTGAAGACCTCAGTTGAAGTAATAATCGCTAAGGAATCTATGACTTTGATTAATCATTTCGTTAGCCATGGGTTTGGAGTGGCAGAGTACGCCTGGCCATTACTCAAAAATGCATTCTCAGTGGTTCTTTCGAAAGATGACTGGCTCAGTCTCTTTGACAATGTATTTACATATCAAGATAAGCCTGAACTCCTATTTTACTTCACTGCTGCATATTTGCTATATTTTAAAAACACATTGACTAAGATTACAACTGTGGAGCAAATGTTGAGCTTCACACAGAAGCAGAATAGTATTCAAACTAAGATAGTTATGAAGGAAGCTCTCAAGTTGTATAAAAAGTACAACGAAGATGACGAAGTTCTCATTGGCACATTTGGTAACTACATTCCTGTCCACCAGGAGGGTAAATACATCACTTTTTCCAATTACCCCACAGAAAACGTGGCTTATGCTAAACAAATCAGGCTTATGAAACTTAATGAAGAGGAAATCAAAGAGCATCGTCAGAAAGAAGTTGGGGAGCTACGTAACAGAGTTTCAAAACTTTTACTTAAGGATAAGCAAGTACGTGAGCAGACTCAGACTATTTCAGAGCAAGAATCCAGAAAGGCCCAACAGAAGCAGATAGAATTAGAAGAGCAAATCCTTCTCAAGCTCAAAGAGCAGAGTGAAAGGACTGAATATCTCAGGAAACTTGAGGAAAATCTCAGAGTCACTGTTGAGAAACAAAAGGAACAAAAATGTGATGACCAAACGCGCCTAATCCAAGAGTATGAAGAAAGGAAGAAGATCTTTCAATATGAAGAAATCATGCAAAAACAAGAAAAAGACTTGTCACAAATGGAAAAGAACGCTGCTCTCCGCATTCATGACATTATCTCTATGAGACAGAAGGAGGAATACGAGAGACAGATCAACCAGCATATCGAAAATCATCCCTTCAGAGGTCTCTTGGATAAGCCAGGAATGGATGACACTATCAGTAACAGAGACAGCATTAGCTCAAGACCGCCTCTTTCCAAAAGCTCGATGATTTTCGAGAACAATCAGCAATCAGAAGAAATAGATAACCGCATGAGGAAGCTTGAAGAAGAAATGAGGAATGTCAGGGTCGACAAAGAACGAAGACTCAAGCAAATCGAATCAGACTACGCTCAAGCTTCTGAACAAATGAAGGCTGAAATCTCCAAAAAGAACGAATATCTCAAAATGCTGGAACAAATGAACAACTACGAGATTGATTATCGCAGCCAAGCCCTGAATGAAATCTCTGATGGGAAGATAAAAGAGCTACTAGATCAGAAGAAAGAGATTGAGAATTCTCTCAAAAATGAGAAGCATGAGCAGATTAGGCTCCAGAAAGCTATTGAAAAGAAGCATTTTGAGCAACAGTTAATGAAACTCAATCTGCTTAAAGAAGAGCAAAAGAAAGACGAAGAAGCAAGACTTCAAGAGATCTCTAAAGAAATGGAGCATAAAAAAAGAGAATGGGAACTTATCGACAAAGAACTCTCCATGAAAGAGAAAGAAATCATTGAGAAAGAGAAATTCAAAGATCTTCTGAAGGAAACCGACCAAAATCTGCTCCGCATTGAGGAAGAAAAACTAGCTATGGAGAATCAGAAGCTCCAACAGAATGTCAACGAAGTTACTCAGAAGGCTTATTATGAGACTCAGAGCAAAGTCTCAGAGATTATGAAAGAAAGAGAGATCAACTTCCAAGAATATACTTTGCTAAGACAACAACAGATTCATAAAAAGTATGAAGACAGGGTCAAAGAGATAGAAGAGGAACATAAAGCAAAGGAAATAGCTAGAGAGCAGCAGATCAAGAACATACAGCAAGAATACCAGATTAATAATGCTGAAAGAGATCAGTCCATAAGTGTTTATGAGAGAGACGACAAGACTGATCGGGATAATTCTAAGGAGAGAAATCCAGTAATATCTCCAGAGAAAGAGGAGCTCTCTTACATCCAGAATCATCCTCAAGAAGAATCAAAGAGTTATTATGAAGAAGCTGCCAATATTAATCTGAATATGTATAGAGGGCCTTTGTCAGATCTCAATAGCTCCATGAACCAGAAATATCAAAATGAAAATGTATATGAGAGGCAAAGAAATGATGGAAACGCAGGCACTCTAAAAGATCAAATGAAGGCTATCAAAGGAGTTTTATCACAACCAGCATCAGAAGAAAATGAAGGGTTTAGATATGATATTCAGAGTATAACATCAGAAGCTCCAAGTAGAATGAATGATAGTTATTCCTCAATAGAAGATGACCCGGCATTGGTTAAGCATGAGCAATCAAAGCAAGCTTTTGAAGCTTATAAGAACACATACAATGCTTTTGGAGCAACTGAAGATTATTCATTGCAGTTGCGAGAATCAACATTTGGCAACCCAACTGCTTCTTCAAAAGAGTTCCAAAGAATTACAACAACTAAGCCAACTTCTCAATATGGCGATCCTAAAGACTCAACTAATGAAGGATACGAAATTAGGTCTTATTATATGGGAGGAGATGGTCGCATAAGCTCAGCAATTACTGAAGAAAACGACGATGGCTCAACTAGCTCTCAATTAGAAAATATATCTCAAACTAGTAGCATGTCATCTCAGAACTATCCAGATTATGTTCAAGAAAAGAGTTATACTGTTGATGAAAATGCTGTTCAATCCACTTACAACAAATCGATGGTCAAATCTTATAATTCAAATATAATTTCTCCACCTCAGGAGTACATGAAGAGCCCTGTAGATAGCTCCTTGGGGACCTCAGAGATTTCATCGACCTCTTCAGATGCTGAGAACCAGAATCCAAATGTTGCTCATTATCCTCCTGAGCATATGAATGTGGCTAGCTACGATTTCTCTCATTCCAAAGAGATTGGGGATGGGTCCAATATGCCTATCAACCCTTTTTATAACCCAAACCCAGCATTTTCCTCTAGTTATGGGTTCAAGCCCCAGTAATAGTCTGGTATAAGTTATGTTAAGCATTTTCAAATAGGCTGGAGTGATGTGGGGTTTTGGGGTTTTGGGGTTTTGGGGTTTTGGGGTTTTGGGG